CACCTTTGTAGGTCATCAATAGGCCAGGATCCAATGAAAGAAGATGAGGTGCAAAGGTGGGATTATTCTTGGATTACGTAAAGGTGAGATTATTATGAGAAGAACGGTGAAAAGTGAGATTATTCTCGTCAATTTTTCCTTTGCTATAACACAATACAACATAACGGAGTATGTAAGGCAATTAAGAACACTTCGTACATAGCTACGTTTTAATTTCTTCTTTTCCTCTGTTAGAATCGCACACAGGAAAAATTTGAATCCCGGGTCTTAACATCCTCTTTAATTTTCAATGTCATATTTTCCCTTACAGTTTTGTTTGGGTTTAATAGCTATGTAGCATAATACTTCGTACAACTTAGGGTGGATTCCGTCTTGGTCCAGGAACATGTCAGGACCGGAAATAAAGAGGTCCTGGATCTGGGCCTCCATTTTCTGAGATCGAGACTAGACCAGTTTCATTTTTTGGATTTTCTTTTGTGAAACCATTAGAAAACATTACATAGGGTTGAGAGTCCACTTCAAAGCCTACAAGAGGAGTAGATAGGGGTGGAGAAAGCAATAGAGGCTTTAAAAGTATATTAAAAAGTAAAAAGTCCAAGACCAAACCGGACCAAGACCAGTTGGAGACCGAAAACGGATGGGAATCGATAATAGAGGTCCCAGTCTTGGGCCTCCATATAATTTCTAAAGACTAGCTGATTCAAGACCAAAATCGAAACGAACCGAAACCGGGTCTATCCCTAATACAACATACCGAAGGATGAACAAATATATAAGACATCAAATGCTACTCTGTAGAGTAATGATCTGGTCAGGCGCGCTTGACCAGATGTGCTGTGCGGACTTGCCCGTTTGGGTGTCCTCCCGGTCGAAGTTTTTGATGAATTTTTTTGAGCATGTTCCTCATCAAGTCTAGTTTATACATACCAAATTTCAGCTCAAAATTCGATAGGGAAGGCAGTCAAATAAATTCTTGAAACATACTGGTCTTTATATATGCGCAGAATGACCAGTATGTTTCAAGAATTTATTTGACTGTCTTCCCGGTCGAATTTTGAGCTGAAATTTGGTGTGGATAAACTAGCCTTGATGAGGAACATGCTCAAAAAATTTTATCAAAATGTTCGACCGGGAAGGCACCCAAAAGGGCAAGTCCGCACATTTTGATACAAATGTATATGCTTTATTTATACAAACATGTAACATTAGTTTCAGCACACCTATTTAAAGTTGTATGTACTATATACACCCGATTATTCCTTTTTATTTTCTATTTTTCAAATCGTTAGCCACTTGTAGCTTCAATTTATTCTAAAAAGCCGGAGAACAACTATAATAAATGAATGCTCTTGTAGGAGTGATTGATAGAATTTCATTTTTAAAAACCCTATAGATGGGGAGATGGTAGGGTTTGCAGAGACCAGCCAATGGAGCCTAATACATAGTCTACATTAAATGATCGTGATATAATTGGAGTCATTTGTTTTTCAGTGTTTTCTCCCTCAAACGCTGCAATTAGTAGCATTTCATTTGTAAAAAAAATGGAGTTTTGGATAAAATGCTTATTTCCGAATGCACTCATTCTATATACACGATAGCAAACTACATAAAATTTATTTCCACAAATGCATATTACTCATTTATTTATGTGCGTACTCCACTCATTCCCTATTGTTGAGTTAGGTGACTAAATTTATTACAACAAGTGTAGTAATGAAACTTAAGCTACCATGAAACTACGTTGTAATAACTATTAATCATATTTGTGTAAATAAGTTTTATTTTAATAATATTTTTGAAAGAAAAAAAACTCCACAAACATCAAAATAAATTGTCCTAATTAAATCTAACGCTTACACTATACTATTGGTGGACTCGAGCCGTGTGGCCCGACCCGGAACCGGCCCGGGACCGGCACTGTTCCAGCCCGGCCCGAACCGGTGGCCTGGCCAGTGACCGGTCCGGGTAGGCCCGACCCGAGGGGTATCCGGTTCGGGCTCGGGTCACCCAAAACATGAACCAGCCCGGCCGGTCCGGGCCCGGTTCCGGGCTTTTTTCAACTTTTTTTTAAATCCTCGGGTTGGGCTCGGTATTTTGGGCCATTTGGGGTGGTTTGGGGGTTGGGGTTGGGGGGGGGGGGGGGTCGGGGGTAATTAGAAAAAGGGAAAAAAATGTAAGAGGCCCGAGGCCCGGCCCAAGTCCAGCACTCACTCTATAGGAGTAAAAGACTCATACTCACACTACTTAGTCATGTTTTTCTTGAAAGAATATAACTACAACATTATCCAGACCCTATTCTCAAAAGAATAATGTGATTAATTACTTTCTTTTGCATTTAAATAAGCCTTCAAAATATTAGCGATTTTGCATGCAAGCTTCTGAATCAGAAGACTTGCAAATACACCTTTCAACTCATTAAAAATTAAGCAATTGAATCTTTTTTACCTAAGAAGAGAATTTTTTCATGAAAATTTATCAATGCCAACAGGTAAAAAAAATCTAATTACTTGATTTTTAATGAGTTGAGAGTAGTGGTGGACCGGACCATGTCCGGTTCCGGTTCGGGCCTAGGCCGGGCCGGGCCTGGAACATTTTGGGTAAGGCCCGGAAAAGGCCCGGGGGTCTACCGGTCCCAGGCTGATCCGGTTCCCGGTTCAATTTTCTTTCTTTCTTATTTATTTCAACCCCTACCCCCCCCTCCATCCCCCCCACCCCCCAAACCCCTCGGAAACACCCAACCCAGCCCACCTAAACCCAGCCCAAGCACCAAAAAAAAAAAAGCCCGAGTCGGGCCCGAACTGATTCACCTTTTTAAGGCACCGAAACCACCCCGGTTACCCCTTCGTGCCAGGGCTAGGCCCGGAACCGGTTTCACCGGCCGGGCCAGGCCTGCACAGTACCGGACCGGTTCCCGGGCCGGTCAGACCGGACTAGATCCACCTAGGGATGGACCCGGGCCGGGCCGGTTCCGGTTCCGGGCCGGGCCCGGGCGGGCTTTTTTTGGGGATTGTTGGGCCCGGAACCGGCCCGGGTTGATACCGGGTCCGGTTCGTGCCGGGTCGACCCGGTCGGGTCCGGGCCGGGCCGGGCCGGGCCCGGGCTTTAATTTTTTTTTTTTTTTTTTAGATACCATAATTAAATTAATATTACTTGGACATAAAAAAGGGTAAAACATATTTATTTGATATTTGTAGTACAATTGAAAATTGAGCAAAAATAAAAACATGAAATACACTTTATAATAAGTAATGAAGTATGAATCAATTAGAATTTCCTCCATCTTCAGTTGTTTCTTCCATAAAGTGGCGAGTGGGTTCAATGCTTATTTCTTGAGTTCTACGTTTGGCCTTCAACCAATCGTGGAAGCAAACAAGCGTCTCAAGAGAGTTTGCGCTTAATCTCGTTCTATAATCCGTTAGGACGTTGCCGGCCGCACTAAACTCTTGTTCCACAGCAACTGTTGATACCGGCATTGCTAGCACTTGCTTAGCCATCTTTGATAAGATCGGGAACGTTCTCTCTTTTTCCTTCCACCACTGAAGAACGTCAAAGTCATCCCCTTCTTCATAATCAACAGGAAATGTTAGATACAAAGAAAGCTCGTTGATCGAGCTTTGTTCATTAACCGGAGTTGATTTACTTTTTTTCATAAGATTGCCAAATGCAGATTTGAAAATTGATTTTCCTTTAGATGAAGAAGATGTTCGTGGCGGGGGAGGGGGTGCGTTACCATATTGTGCATGAAACTCATTAAATAATTGATATAATAAATTACTAACCTCTTGGAATTGTTGTTTAGGGTCTATGGCCTTGTCGTCGTACATAGGCAATGGACCAAAAAAAGAAGCATAATAGTAATCTAAACATTTCTCCAAAGAAGCAAGTCTAAAACGAGGATCAAGAATAAATGCAATACCATAAATGTAATATGTGAATATAAGTAAATAAATATACTTATATAAGTAACAATAATATAATAATTAGATATTAATATAAGTAGATAATAAATTATATAAATATAATATATGTAGTAATAAATTTGAGAAATTGAGAAGATGAAGATGGGAAAGATTAATAGAGAATAGAGATTAGAGATTTAGAGAGTAGAGATATTTGGAGAAGATGTGTAGTAAAGTGTATAGAAAAAATGGAGTATTTATAGATATTTAGTACCCCACCCCCCACCCCCCACCCCCCCCACCCCCCCACCCCCCAACCCGGGACCCCCTGGAAGGCTCCCAACGGCTATAGAGCCGTTTGGGTTGAAAGCCAACGGCCATAAGGCCTGTTTGGCTGAAAAACAATTTTTTTTTTTTTTTAAAAAGTAACCGTTAGGCCCGACCCGGGCCCGAACCGGCCGGGCCGGGCCACCAAACAATTGAACCGGACCCGAACCGCCAAACCCCCCCGGGCCGGGTCAAAGCCCGAACCGGTTCACCAGTCCCGGTTCCGGGCCGGGCCTGCACAGTGGCGGGCCGGGCCGGTTCCGGGCCGGGCCGGCCCGGTTGAGTCCATCCCTAGATCCACCACTACTTGAGAGTATATTTGTAACTCTTCTTATTTAGAGGCTTAGAAGTTAGAATGCAGAATCGCTAATAGTTAGAGGACTTGTTTACCTCTTTTCCTTTAAAATACATCTCAACCACTCAATTTTATTATCAATTCCCGCATAAACCATATATGTGAAAAAAAAGATAAACAAAGACGATAATTATGAAAATGAATTTTTATCACTTTTAATCCGACTATGATACTTAATACTTCACTTTGAATTTTTTCACTTTTAATCTTTCGGCTGTTGTGTGAAATACACTTTTGACATCCAACTTTGAAAATTTTCATATTTAGTCCTTTGACTTTCATAAAAGTGATATTTTTTGTTCAAAGTATTATAATAATGACATTTTAGTCTTCCACTTATCGTATCAAAATCATTGTGAAAGAACTAAAAGTGTCAATTTAATAATATTTAAAGAACTTAATGTGGGAAACATCGAAGTCGAGAATTAAAAGTCCCACACAATACTTGAGGACTAAAAATGGATCGAGTATCTAAAGTATCACTAACATCAAACTGAAAGTCTGAAAGTGTCAAAAACTCTTAAAAAAATTGTATAATTAAGACGGTAAGCTTGTTGAACTGTTCAAGTGAGAAGCGGATACGTGAAAATCGCTGCTTCATATCACTGGGTTGCCACAGAAGAAGACTTCATTGCTTCCTGAACCAAGCCTAATGTACACTACATAACTAGCCTAAGTAGTCCAGCTCAGGGCCAAAGTTTGTTGCTTAATCGTTCATGAACCAGCCGCCAAAACAAATGATGTACAATTTAACCTCAAAATTACATTTCCTATATTTTCAACAATTGCCAATAAGTCTTCCTAAATATCTTCAGTTTGTACAGGTAATAACATATTGGAATTGGTTTAATTGGTTTACCCCATCTTTGAAAATGAGCAAAGTGAGAATATACTGGTATTTGCAGAGCCGCTGCAGCTATATAAGCTTACCTCCTGCACAGAATAGAAAAGACCTTGACACATTTCATCCATAGGTAGTACACCCCATATACAGTTCATTATTGGGAACAGATTTGTAACCTTCTGGTGATGATGAAACCAGTGAAGAAAATTTTTCTGAGTTCATTAGTATAAACCCCCGGATGGCCACCAGAAGACCCAGTCGTTAACTTCAGGACCGCAAGATTATTCAGGCCAAATGTCCCAAACACGCGTTTTTAAAAAAAGAACAGATGTATGTACATGTGCATATATAATAGTATGTGATGAACATACCAAATCTAAGCATGCAACAGATCTTGTCAATATCTCATAAGCTGCATATTCACCCCTTCCCACATTAGCAGTACACCACATCTTGTGCTATAATAAACACTAAGATGTCTTTAACACAAATAATAATAACAATAGTAGAATAATAATAATAATAATAATAATAATAATAATAACAACAACAACAATATTGATAACAATAATAGTAATCATAATGATTGATAATACCAGAAACATTGGGGGAGTTCTAGCACAATACATGAAAAAATGCTTAGAGTCTAATCTAAATGAAAAGTTGGAGCATGAATACATCTAATAAAATCACCAAATAAGGAAAGAGTGGTCAGAGGCTTGCTGGGTATACAAGGTTCATGAGAGCACGTCAGATCAAAGCTTAGAAACATGGATATGGTTTTTAAATTAGTATAGATAAAGAACATGAGATATTTGGCCTTCAGATATATAGAAGGTAAGCAACATGAGTGTTCCCCTCATTCATCAGGTCTTCTGGTTTAGATAGAGAGGAGGCTTTCAAACAAGGCAGTGGTGGGCAGGGCTGGCTTCTCGAGCTTTCAGGTATATCAGCTGTTTTCTTAATTTCAGCTTAACATGGGAAGGAAAAGGGAAACAAACCAAATTAGTTACATAATTGGGTATGCGGGTTGAAGAATACCAATACGGAAGTATATTGTTGGAAATTTATTATGAGTAGAGGTGATGGGGAAGATGATCAATTATCCAATAAGGCTGTGTTTGGAGCCTAAACAATTTTAGAACAATGAAATAAAATGCTGGGTAAATTAGTTTTTGAATGTTGTTTTCACTGGAATGCGTAAAATAAAATATTATCATACAAAATGGAAGTTTTTACACTTTATAAGTTTATGTGGAACATAAATAAAACAATAAAAAAAAGTACATGTATCTAAAATAGATTGAGGTTTATTTGGCATTCTATTTCCCCAATATTTTCTTCCCTTGCAATTTTGGATTATGTTCTTAAATCTCTTCCTGTTTCTTTCCCCAGTATTTCAGGGTTCCAAACGGAACCTCAATGATTAGGAAAGTGCAAACAAGGATTGGAACGTTACCTCGTGCAGCTCCACTCAGAAAATTTTAGTAGCCATAACTTTTTCTATGTGAAGCAGTGTTTGGCTCAGGTGTCCTGATAACACAAGATTGCATTGCAAAATAAAAAAATCTAACGAAACATTTAATGAAAACATGTAGCTTATCACTGCTTATGGAGAGAGAGTCCAACTTTAATAACCAGCAAATGAATATCGACTTCCTGGATTTATGTCCCCACCTTCCCAAAATCAAAATCTAGGGGCGATAGGATAAGGTAATAACAAAACTCACCCAGAACGACCAACAGAATATCCTTCATATGCTCCATATCCAGGACTGCTTGTACTCTGAAGGGGATATATAAATGTTTCATAACAACGGGGAGCAAATACATACAGTTATACAAGTTAGGGAGATAACAACGAATGCCCGAGATAATGTTCGCAAGAAATGTTTTGCTATATATATATATATATATTTTAAAATGAACCATAAATTCATAATTACCTGAAAAGTAGAATAACGTCCATAGCCATCAGTGGGAGGCATGTCACGCGCACTACCATAACCAGAAGAATAAGAGGAATGACCATGTCCATGCCTTCTAGAATCTCTGCTTTCATACTTTGTAAAGCTATCGGGGGGATCTATTGGCATTGGAAGATATGAAGGAAGAGGCACAAAAGCAGCAGACACACCACCCTCCCTTTCAAAAAGGTTGGCCCTCAAGCGTGATGTTACTTGAACAAGTGCATCCTTGGATACATCAAGCTCTCCAGAAATCTAGCAGAAAAATAGTTTTCATGGAATCATAATAATACTATAAAAGACTTAGCGCCTGGTTTAATCCGACTTTATGCCATTAATGATTAATCATTATGGCCCTTGACTTTGGACTCAATCCGATGCATTAATCTGTAATTTACACTTAAGTTAGGATGTTTTTAGTTGGATTGGTTTCAGTCTGACACCAGACCAAGCTAGATTTAAACCGAACAGACCAGACTAGATTTAAACAGGCCAGACAAGAAAATTTAAGTCCAATTAAAATCATCCTTAGTCTTCATGCATATTTTGCTTTAATCAAGAAAAGTAATTTTCCAATTACTAAATTGGATCCAAATTACACAGTTAAAGACCACTCAACTATACATGAATCTTAAATTTGGTCTATATTTACTAATTTAGTGAAACCAACGAAGAATACTCTACTTGTGTAGAATATACAAGAGGGCTAGATTAGGACTATATTGAATCCCATAAAAAGATGAAGACCAGATCAAATCAGAGGAATAAACCAGTCTAAAATGCATGTTCTCTAGGACTGATTTTTTCCAATCGGGTCTGATCAGTAAAAGATATGACAGATTTTCTCTAGTCTGGTTTAAATGTTTTGATACTATGTGATGTACTTCATAATTAGTTCATATTGAATATATTTTTAATAATCATCTAATATATCATCCTTAGAGTTATTTAATAAACAAACCCTTTTGTTTATATTTATATTTTATAATGATAACTTTAATAAATAATACGGAGTAATATATTAAAATAATAACAGTAACATTATAAAAGATGAATTTAAAAAGAAACAAATGTGTTCTTATACTGCCTAAGTAATGTATATCACAAAAAGTATTGTTCATACAATCATTTAAAAACGAAGTTAATCGTATTCTCTTTGAACATTGCCATTTTTAAACAACACTAATAATTACTCCGTATATGCAATCATAATAACATCAATATTGAAAATCTTAATAAGTAATTTAGTTTTTATATTAATATTATCATTTAAAAATAATGATAATGATTCTGATAGTATCAGTGATAATTATATGAAAATTATTATAACTTATAACATTAGTTGTTTTGTTGTTTTATTAATAATACTATTCATAATAATATAATTAAATTTCTAGTAAAAATATCAATGTTACAATAATATAATACTAACTCCGTTCTTTATTAATTGCAACGGTTTGACTTTCACGCTTGCCAAATGCCAATGCACAACTATGACTGTATTTATATTTAATTACGCATTAATGAATATTATAAAAAAGTTAATATTATGGAAATTCACATTAAAAGAAAGTTAATAATATTTTATACATAATAATTTTGTTATATATACTCCGTATTAGTTATATTTCATGGTCAAAGCAAAGTATGTGAATAGTGTAAAAATTACAATGTTACAACTATTATAAAACAGAGGAAGTACGTAGTATTAAGTAATGATGATGGTCATGTCTGTTTTGGTCTAGGAATTAAGTCCAAAAGAATAGGCTCTATCTGTAAGAAAAAATAACAAAAATGTGAAACTACAAACACTAGAAACATATATGTAGCACTTCCTTCGTTCTTAATTAAATGCAACACTTTCCTCTTTTGGCAATTTCAAAATAATTGCAACACTTCCATTTATGGTAATATTAAATAACTAAAATGACAATAATACCCTTTCACCCCAAATCAGTATCCTCACTCTCTCACCAAATATTATCAATTCACTCGTCACCACACACTATTTGCCCTGCTCAAAAGTCAACACTCATGTGTTCATCTATGTTTTTTCTTTTTCAGTTTCTCATTTCTTCCCTCCCTCCATCACCATTTTCATTTTTCATTTACCCCAGTGCCGCAAAGGCTCCCACCTACGGTGGGGTAAGGGGGGGTCGGATGTACGCAGTCTTACCCGATGAAAATCGCGTCCAAAATTGCATGGACTGACTGCTGCTTCATAACAAAGAAGCGCAGACAGCTTAGTGAGCCAGTTTGCTTTATTCCATCATATTCTCAAGCCAAAAAATAATGTGTTCATCTATGTTTTTTCTTTTTCAGTTTCTCATTTCTTTCCTCCCCCCATCACCCTTCGTCATTTTTTGTATCTCCCATTCTCACTGTTTTTTTTCACTCGTTTTTCTTCTTTCATTTCTTTCCTCCACTACCTTCTTTCTTTTCATCTTTTTGGCTTTCTTTGGAGATCCACTCTAAAATCCTTAACAGCATGGCTCACTTCTTTAAAGAATCTTAAAGAGTCATAGTTACAGTACTTTTTAGGGAGATTCATAATCTAGATTATGGAATTAAAGAAATCGGAAATTGAAAGTAAAATAATTAAATTAGCTGTACTCTAGTTCTTGGTCTGCTTATGAAGACGACGAAGAAGTTAAGCAACACAGGGAGGATTTTAAAACGAATTAATGGTGATGAAAAGTTTGGGAAATTGAAGGAAAGAGACGGTGCCAGCATTTGTCAGACAAGAGTTCAGAAAACGGAGGGTAAGATAGGAAGAAAATGTCTATGGCTGAGTTTCTTAATCTCTGTGCCCGTTTGTACGTTGCATTCTTTTCTGAACAGAGGAAATATTATTCAAGGATAAAATTCATGATAGGTATTTTGACATATAATAACTGACTAAATATATAGGAGTGTCTTTATCTTTTTAGAAGGAAATGCACAAACATGCTTACCAAGACCATCTCATCATCTTCAGCAGCAATGTTGGGAAGGCTTTCACGCGAAAGGACCCGAATATTAGCTTTGGTGATTCTCCTAAGCTCATTAATTATGGACCCACCTTTCCCAATAAGACAGCCTATACAAGAGCTTGGTACAAGCAAGCGTATGGTATATACAGAAAGGCCTGAATCTCTTTCCACTTTTTCACTGCACCTGGGTTGCAAGAGCAATGCAGCTTCTATTGTTGGAGAGTATGTGTCATCAAAAATCTGCTTGAAAGCATTACCGAAAAATCTTTAACATTTAAATTAAATAATTTGTATTCAAAACATACTACATCCGTCCCTTTTTAGTTAGTCATCTTTGACTTTTCTAGTTAATGATAGTAAACTTTGCTCAATCATTATAACAAATATTTTTTGCGAAATCTATAGATTTTACACTTTTATGACAATATTTGTAACAAAGAACATTTTCATATAATTTTCAAATTATAAATACTACCGTATAAAAATATATTATCAGTCAAATTTAAGCATCATTGACTGGAAAAGTCAAAGATTGCTAACTAAAAAGGGATAGGGGGACTATACATGGAGTCATGGACACAAGAAAGTTTACTTCTTTTGATGAAATAACTATCAGGCAATCATCTCCTTCATCAATTGAGCTATCCACTTTAATAGATGCCCTAGACTCTTGCCTTATGTGGTTGATCGTTGCCCCACCTTTTCCGATTACACCTCCAACATTTGCATTTGGGCATACCAGACGTAGAATAAACTCCTTTGGAGACGAGTCATGTCTAGGAGCTGCATATACAGACCTTGGCGGCCATTCTCCACCTTCATCTTTGTAACTGCCATAAGGGCCCGCTAGTGGTGCCAGTCCCACTATTTGAGCACCTGGACTGGGGCCCATCAGTGAACTACCACCAGGTGGGTAAGCAGATGAAGCAAGCAAGTGTTGAGATCGAGATGGATTCTTGTGAAGCCGACTCGCGACTTGATATAGAGCTTTGCTCACCACATGCATTTCTCCAGATATCTGATACCCAATAAAACCATAAATAAGTAAGCTGTTAAATATGCTCTATTTTGAAACTTTCACTGAAACTAACACTAAAAATGAAAAAAAAAAAAACAGAACCCAGTCCCAATACCAAAATATTAAATAAACAAACAAATGAGTAAGTTAAGAACACTTATATAGTTATATATCACTCGTCAAAACTGAAAAGCGATGAGCACTACATACCAAATAAAAGCGAACACATAGATTATTTGAACGATCTATTAAGGCTGGAGGTTCCAATAAATAAAAGTTGCACATGACAGAAGGAGCAAACCATGGTGACTATGTGTTACTATTCTTTATATATTTGTTTGATCTAAGATGACTTGACATGTTTGCAAACAGTTAAGCTGTAAGAGTGAACATAAGTAAAAGTATGGGCGCTCTTATTATTAGGCTGAGGATCGAATTAGTCATTTAATCATACTGTGCTCATCTACCAATAAACCATATTGCCCTATTATGACATTGATTCTATCATAAACCCAAAGTAGTCCAGGACCGTATATGTTCATTTGTGATATTATTTTATATGAGATTGCTTAATAAGATCAAATGAAAAGGTGCATGAAGTTGGGTATCATGATTACCTGCAGTAGTTCGTCTGAGTCAAGGGCACACGCGGGAAGATGTTTATCCTTCAAAATGCGAATCTGAGCACCCGTTTCACTACGAATACTTTGAACAATCTGTCCACCTTTCCCGATAATACATCCTATCTGATCAGACGGTACGAGTAGCTTAGCAGTCACTTGGGGACCCTCTTCCTCAGAGTAGTGATCATCAACTCCAGTCTCCTCATATGACACTCGATCATGAACCTTGAGAAGTGCATCATGGGCAGGACAAACAAGGCCCTCACCACCTCCATCAAGCTCATTAGTTTCCTCGCTGGAGCTGTAGATAGTAACAACACGTTCATCACAGCCAGGCACAGTCTCGCCAATTCTTATTTTGGACTTAGTTTCTGCCCTTAATTGCTTAATTATATCACCCCCTCTTCCCATGATGCTTCCTATCTTCTTTAAAGGGCAGAGGTAGCGATATACTGTGTCCTCAGAATCAATGGACGTACGTTCTTTATTATCACTCCCAAATGAGTTTCTCCTTTTATTTTCTGCATACTCAGATTGTGTCTGAGAATTAGAACGTTTACCATAGCTACTCCTTTGACCAGCCATACTGAGCTCAATCTTGACCAAAAGATACGGTCTTTTTCTATCAATAACAAAATGCTAAATTGATCCAGCTGCAATTAATTGACTTATATTCAGTACGTTAAGGTAGAGCACACTAATCATAAGCAAAGCGTAAGTGTAATAATGGAATGGGGATGTTAAATGAAAAACAGAGCTTATAGCGGAGCAGAAAAGTGATTCTTCGGGGAGTTATGGATCGTCGGGTTAGCTGAGATCTGGGGGTAATGAATGCGAATAGAACTTACCTCAGCGGCAGAATTGCTGTGTTTATTATTATGTCCTTCACCAAGTTCTACAGCTAAGCTAGGGTTTTGAACAGACACTTGTTGAAAGGGATGGAGCTTAGAAAGTGAGTACTTCGATTTCTAGTCGATTCATACATGCCGAAGAAAGTTACCTTGATTATTTACTGTTCATGGACATTAACAAGCACTTTTTTTTTGAAAGATTAACAAGCACTTTCTATTTCAATCTGTTGGGACCGTTGGTATCAATGGTGAGAATATCAAAAGTGAGCTTGATGTTTTTACTTGGACTGTAATTTGCTGGTCTGGTCTAGTCTGATCTGGTCTGGTCTGGTCTGAACTGGTCTGGTCTGGTAAGGTCTGGTTTCTTTGTATTTTTATAACTATCCAAGTCTGGTCTGGTCTGGTCTGGTCTGGTCTGAACTGGTCTGGTCTGGTCTGGTCTGGTCTGGTCTGAACTGGTCTGGTCTGGTCTGGTCTGGTCTGAACTGGTCTGGTCTGGTCTGGGGCAAATTACAGTCCAAGTAAAAACATCCTAAAATGTCAAACATATATTGAGAGAAGTGATCAGGTCCAGCCGGAGGGACAAGAGGTGTCGTCCGAAATCCGCCGTTTGGGGCGATTCCCGGTGGAATTTTTTGTTGAAATTTTCTGAGCATGTTCCTCATCAAGTCTAGTTTGTCCATACCAAATTTCAGATCAAAATTCGATCGGGAAGATATTCAAATCATTTTTTGAAATTGACTGCGCCAAAATATACATATAAAAATGCAATCAACTTCAAAAAATGATTCGAATGCCTTTTCCGGTCGAATTTTGAACTGAAATTTAGTATGGACAAACTAGACTTGATGAAGAACATGCTCAAAAAAATTCATCAAGAAATTCTACCGAGAACCGCTCCAAACGGCGGAGTTCGGATGGCGGCTGGATTGGGGAGGTCTGGACCTGATCTTTTTCGCATATATTGATACTTAAATGACAATTGTACACTTAATAATATTACACCAAGTAATTTTTAACATATATTATATTTTATACGATTTATTCATGTATTTTAAAATCAATATATATATAAAAGAAGAACTTTTTAAGAACATACAGAGTGCCACATAATCCTGCCATGTCATTATATATAACTATTATTTAATTACTTTCTATACCTTTTATTTTCTACGGAGTATTACCTTTTGTATATCCATCTTATTTGATAACTCTATCAACTTCAAAATCTTATTTTAATTCGGCACTTCTATACCTACTAGTTATTTACTCGCGCGTTGCGCGATGAGCTAAATGCCCAATGTAATTTATTGCCAAATACATTTAAAAAAATATTGAATTCCAATCTAGTATGATTACTTTGTTACTCCCAACACCTTTTATCTTCCCACATTTCATCTTTTTTTGGCAAAAAATAACTTAAATAATAATCATGACCCTTCAATACACGAAAATTACAATCAGGTCTAGATGTCACCCAAGTATCATCAGCATGTGAACATGCTTCACTTATAAGTGCATGGGCAACTCGATTCGCTGACCGATGCACAAACTGAACAACAATATCAACAAAACTTGTCATCATGTGTCTAATATTCTTAAAAATAACATCATTATAATACAATCCCTTCATACATGATAATCCACATCTCATCCTCGAACTTAGTTGGCTAAACTCTTTATTTTTCACTGGTAATTATTTTATTTTTGATGTATATGAAATTGACCCAAATCAATAGGAATGCAAACATTAACGACATAAGTCGATGAACACAATCTGTAAATCGCATTTTAAAGAAGTGTATATAGAGCCCAAATAAAATTAATTTCTTTGAAATTCAAAGGAAGACCATTTTTGTGAACAGTAAAAAAATCCAGGAAGTGAAGTGTTCACAATTTTTTTTGTCATGCTAGAGGCAAAGAAAGCTGCTTAATTTCTTGGATAATAAGAAGTTCAAAACCTAAAATCTGAATAAGATTTGAGTTCGATTTGAGAATTTCATTGCAAAATATGAAAGAAGAGATGAGTTTCTAAGGATGGGAAGCACATATCACCTTGGTTATAATCTTATAATAGTACTAAAGAAGTTGGTATGGACATGCGAACATCCATAGTCATTCATCCCATGAAAAGAAAAAGGTTCAAACACCATGCCATCACATAAAAAAACACTGCTAGAATATATACATGTCCCACAGTACCACTTAAAGGACCAGAAAACTGAGTTCCTCAATAAACACCACAAGAGGATAAAAAGCAGAGCTAGTAGAAGCGGGTAAACCTGCATTATGCTAAGAAACTCGTGATGCCTGCCTCAGGAATTTATTAAGATTCTGGGCATCCACTTCTTTTTCTTTGGGGTTTGGGGTGAGGCGTATCCCCAAAATTCTTATTTTTCACTGTCGCTTTCGTTTTGTGTTTCATTTATCGGGTCTGGTCTAGCCCCCCGATTTTTCTTGTATTTCCTGAGGGTATGCCCTCTTGAAGAGGTTTTGGTCTAATCCCCTCTTCTCTGTCCTTACTTCTTTATTAATAAAACTTGGCAAATGTTCCCCGGCATTTGCCCAACTGATTTTGGTGGTTTACCTTCCGGGTTAAAAAAAAAAAGAATCAAACTATAACGAACACACGGTAAAAATAGTATATTTTTTGAGGAATCACATCAGAAACCAAATATAAGAAAGAAGGAATTATGACCTCTCTACTTTGGCCAGAGTAGTTTCTGCACTGAAAATTTGGGAACATAATGCCTCACATAATTTTTTTCATGTCAAAAATAAGAAATCAAACTACTGATGTGAAGAATGTGGTTTTTCCCATGATCTGATGCAAGAAATTATAAGCTGTGGTTATAGTGGAACTTCATAAAAACATGCAAATCTATCAAACGAAACATGGGTAGCAAAAAAACACAAGTACCTGGCAGCAAAATGTTTGGTATTGAAAGGATGCGGGATGCATTAATTAGAAGGTTTAGGAAGCCAGATTTGTCTTTAACGGCATTTGCTAACATCTGCATTTGGGCATATTGATGTGATATAGTTTAGATTTCCTTATATTTAACATGAACCAAACAATAAGTTCAGCCACATATGTATGACAGTAAGTAGTTCATTTTTGTGTATGCTGAAAGGCCGGGAGAGGTGTGTCCTACTTTAGGCCTCAATGACCATAACACTAATTTGAGTAAGGTATAGCAGCAAAACAGGAGGAAACTGTTGTGATCAATGTTTTCTTCATATACATTACTCCGTATCTTTTATGAGAAAATCAATGAAGTTACTACGTTTTTTCGCGTAGTTCAGTTTGGTCTCATTTCAACGACAATGTAAAGTACTCCGTATATTTTACCAAGTAGCTAGCTAACTACTTGTATTTATTGGATAAAAGTTTCCACATCCCAAAACCCATGATAAACTTTGGGACTTTGTGTGTTATAGCAAACCTTTTAACCAAAAGTGCACTCGTTCTCATTTTTCCTAAGGAAGCACCTTTTTTATTCATCACACCCTATAGATATACACATAGATGCATACATGTTTTTTCAAGTTCCAGTTTGGTAATGGTGAATTTGGTGGAAGTGACTGAAATCACTAAAATGCCGGATGAACTACATTTATTTTACAAACTTGCCGAAATAGGGAAAAGTAATAATTAAAATATATTTTTAACTGAACATCGTCTGAAATATATCTTTAAAAAATTAAATGGTGAGAACTACCTTTATCAGAAAGTTATTATGTCATTGTCAACCCATTCACCTCACACTATTAATAAAGCCTAACCTCATTCCCATGTTGACAACCCATTCATGTCGCTTCAGTGATCATACACCACCATATTTAACATACTACAAAACATAGCCTCATTTCTCAAAATAAATAAATAAAGGTTTTATATAAGATTTTATAAAGAAATTAAAGGAATTTCAAATTCATTTCTAGAAGATAATCAAAGGTGACATTCAACTTACGCACTAAACTAAGGAGTAGGAAACTTTGAAAAGAATAAAAAAGAATGGTATTGAAGCATATTGATAAATACCTTTTGTGTTGAATATATGTTGAAGTGGTTTCCATAACAAAGGAAGTTTACACACCCAATTTTGTACTAATGCAGTGGTGATTACCCTGTCTGATTACACCATTGAGGGTTCAATAAGAAATTAACAGTCAATAAGATCAGCAGACAATGTTTTATTAAATAGAACAAAAGGGAATATAATGTTTTACTATCACACCTTTAACATCATATCTCCTTAATATGTAATTCTAACTAAGTAACAAAGCACATGAATAGAAAACACTTTATAATGTTCCCTGAAGTTATAATTGTGTATACAATCATAATCCTCTATACAAGTGATGGTGCGATAAGGTCAGGTACCTTTACATATTTCCAAAACTGCATTCAAAGTGGGGGAAAAGAGGCGCTTTACGTGTGCAAAGGCGCGCTGACTTGATGAAGAGAGGGCGCTAGGATGATTGTTCTTCAGGTTCACTAAGTCGGTGCACCGGTGCGGAGAATAGGACGGCGCTAATTTACACTCTGTTTGAAGAAGGGGAAGCGGCAGGTTTGAGTTAAATGAACAGGGAAAATCGGAAAGAGGATAATTTCACCTGTTGTGTATAGCGCCGATAGGTATTCGCCGACTTAAATGAGCAGGTGGACGGAAGGAGAATACGTAATGGATGGCAAACTAACGGCATGTAGATGGTAACCAAAGGATATATTTATGGCGAACAATGAAAAAAGCATAATGTACAACTACTCTATGCTTTGAGTGTTACACCAACAAATTTTTGTTCCCAAAAGGGCTCTAACCTTCATTGGCATTTATAAGTTTTTATTTATTTTTAGATTATAAATCTGAAAGGAGTTGAGATTCTTTACATTCTCTCAAAATCGTTTCAAGGAGTTGAGATTCTTTACATCTTATTTGACAAGTTTAATCCTGCATTCCTGCCATATCAATTTTGCAACTCCATCCTAAAAGGAGTTGAGATTCTTTACATTCTCTCAAAATCGTTTCATTGCACATGCTTCATCCATCAATATTAGTTAATTTTTGCTTCATATTTAGCTACACCTTCATATAATTATTTCTTAATTATTAACCCATTGATGAAAATTATAAACACCGAATTTTTGAAATTAAAAACGAAATTAATGTTATTAGAC